ATTCTTGAGGAAGAGGGGCTAGTTCAGACAGAGTTATTGAAAGAGAGTTGTCCATCTTACAGAATTTCCCTATAGACATGCTCTGAACATTCTTTATGCTTTACTCTCTTGACAGGAGTGATTTTCCCTGGACATTAGTGATTCACGCGAACTCCAGATCACTTCAGTGAAACGCAGTCTTACAAGGAAGGATGTGCAACATCTCACAGATCACTGCCTTAAAAAGGATCCAAAACCAGTCAGCAACTGCATCGTCCGTAAGTGAAATCAGTCCATCTTATAAAATCATCTCAGAGGGGAGGGAATGTCCAACAGTAACATTAAATGAATGTAACAACAAAACCAGGTAAAACTATGGCTAAAACAACACTTTGGGGAAAAGCTTTGAAAAAGTACTTTGACTTTTTTGTATCATGTTTCTATCAGATAGATTTACTAGTTTTTAAAAGTCTGTTTTACTCAAGCTTCTGAGCACCACTGTACATTTGCAAAGCATATTTATCATCCAGGGAAAGTCTTCTACAGCCCACTGTTATTTTCAAAGGAAAAGGGAAAAATACAGCAAAGGCTTCAAAGACGTGAGTGAATTATTTCATCCCCTTACAAGTGCAGCATGTGCTCTCTCTTCTGTAATGTCCCCGTACAGAAAACAAGATGTAATTAATGCAATTCCTTTGCCAATTGAGTGGGATCTTATAAAGAATTGGCACGTAATTCTGATTTGAGCTTTCTTGTCTTAAGCAAAACCAAACTTAATACAGAACGTTATAATGTACTAACGGGGTCCTTCAACAGAATTCCCCCCCCTCAATACAAGTGACTGCAAGGTGCTGGGCCAGTAATCAAAAGGATACTCAGGTGTCCAAAACAGCAATATTGATACAGCCAGGCATTTCTGTGTACTATGGTACAATCGTGTAAGGGAACCAAAGAAGAACATTTGGCCTTTTGTTATTTTACGTACCAAGACAGAAAAGCATGCCTTTTCTTCTGTTCTACCCCAATGAACAGATGTGGTTTTAATCACATACAAACCAAAATGCTCACAAGTTTCACACTATGACTTTGAAATTTAGGAGTAAAATTATTTTTCAAAGAAAGTGATTTTCATCTAATTATCTTGAAACTGTCCATAAAAGGCAGATAGGCAGGGAATTGGATAAATACACCGAGTAGAGTTTTGTTTGGTTCCCCCCCCAGTTGGAGAGAAAATTAACGTAATGTTGATAAACAAAAAACCTGTGGCAAGACAAGAAATTTTAAGAGAAGCCTTAGGGTCCAATATAGAACAGTTATAGGAGATTCATCGATAAAGATTTTACGGAACAGCATACATCCAGATGCTACCTCCCTGTTACTGAACTCAAAGTTGCAGATTAACTCAATACGCAACGTTAGAACAGTATAGTTAATTAAAAGAGAGACAGAAAATGCCACGCAAAGCCCAAATGCGACTCCGTCGGGGAACTGGCACCCAGAGCTGCTACAACTTTAAGCTAGCCACTGACCTATGTCTCATGGTATCCAGCTCACCCGCCACCCCCCCAACCAAAAAACACCTCATAAATACCTAAAGTCAGATTACCCTTTCTTCTGAGTAGCATTACAGCTCTTTGACAAACTGCGTGTGAAACACAGTTCCAGCGAATATGGATTACAGGCAACTCTTCAAGACCTATTTTGAAAGGATGTATGTGGTATTGAGGTAGCTGGAATTTGCATACAGGGAGAACAGGTATGTTTCTAATGCGATCTGGACCTCAATTAGCATGAACTATCTTTCAGTATAGGGCCTGTATGAGGATAACATGCACAGAGCACAAAGGGATCTCTGTTCCACATCTGGGTGCTGTACCAGGAGCAGGGGGTGGAGGGAGGGAGGCGAGGTCTGTGACTCTGACGTGAAGGTAAGATGCACGATGCTGGCATCTGGCAACCATAAGAGACAAACGAGGTAGAGTCGGGCCTCTGGCCGCTCGCCAGCCGGGGCGTATGCGAGGGTAACAAGAGCTTTTAACCCATACGGAAAGGTCAGGATGGTAGGAACAGAATTATGGCCCACGTTCGTACTTCAACTGCGAATTTCCTAGCTTTATAGAGTTTCAGTAAAACTCTACCACAACATCCTAGAGTTAATTTTAAAACCACATGCAACCAAACTTCATCACAAGTGACCAGGTCCACAAAACATCTAGACATATAGCTCCCACTGAAAAATCAATGGGAGTTAAGCCCATAAATACTCTCACGGTTCTGACCAAATATTTTAATTTTTTTTCCCTTAAAAACTATAAATCGCGCCCTCGCTTTGAAACAAACCTCTCTTGCTCGTAGCTTTTTTCAGTCCTGTATTTCACTGTAACTCTTCGTGAGAATTACAACCTGCAGCGCCCTAGCCAGCAGCACGTATCTCTGAAGTTTCAAAGATTAGCACTCATGTGTCTCTGGAGCTTGTACCACTCACTTCAACAACTGCTCTTCAGCCTGTTCAGATGCTACCAGCTCCATTTACAGGCTGTTGGGACAAACTCCTCTAATATTACAGTCACAAGAGAAGACAAGATTACAGACTCCGAATGACGAGTTCATGCCTCAAGTCAGTATTAAGGAAATTTCATGCAGAGAGTTTTGCTCACAGATTTTCCTCGCGATGCCTAGGACCAATCTGAGTTTCTAAAAAGCGAGTCTTTAATTACGAGCAGAGAAACAATAGCTCACTTCAACATGAAAAAGAATACACCCACTATTTTTCCATGCTCTGTAATTTAAAAATAGGTCGACCCATTAGCTTTAAAGCTTTCAAAAATATTAAAACTGAAATATAGGGCTCAATTTCCTTTTTGTTTTTTAAGCCAGACACAGAGATTGAAAAGTTTCAGACTAATGGCTACTTTAAGATGATAAAAGGGGATAAAGTTTTTGAACTATGAATCTAACATCGCCGGAACAGATTGATTCTATAGTAAATTTTTAAACAGAAAGTAAATTTTTAAACATCGACTAAATTTGAAGCATTTAAATAAGACCAGAGCATTAACTGCATGCCAATTCAGAAGTGCTACAGGGCCTATAATTTGTCACGCTGCACATACAGATCTACCTGACTTTTGTCACTTTTTTCCAGTGTGCATGTTCAGAATGCAAACAGGGGCCAAAATACACCTGAACAGCATGTCTACCAATTCAAGAGACTTCCTATATTTAATGTGAACCAGACAGAATCAATACATACTGGAAAAAAATTACTAGGAAGTGGCATTTTTTCACTCTGTACTTTAAAAACGTAACCCTGGAGGCCAAGATTAGTGTCTTTGACCGTTTGGCAATTGATGACAACAGAATTACGATTAGTGGGACATTGACTCCCAGTGTTTCCCAAGCACCTTCTGCATGAACTGGAGGAACACCTTGCCTACACTTGAGTATGAAACAGAAGGTCCCTCAGTTCATCAACGCCACAGTGCCCAACAGGCACTGCTCTTTGGAGAAACATTCCGAGACTCAGCAGTTTGCCTGAACTTCAACCAAATGAGGCCCCACACCTGCTAAAATCCAGACGAAGGCCAACCAGACCTGGCCTGGCTCCGCTGCTGGTGCTCTGCGCACTAACGCGGACCCTGTGAACTCAACTGACTGAACGGGCTGAAGAGTGAAGCGCCCCAAAGGTCAGGGGAGCAAAAGCGGTTTCAAACCACCCCATTACGAGTCCACCCTGGCATCTGTATGGGCTCCCGGTGCCAGTGGTACGGTTTGTAAACAACCTCGAGGCTCCATGCTGGCGATGGAGAACCTGATGTCAAATCTCTCCTCCTCACTGGCTCACCTAAATGTTCAGCGCAGGGAGGCGAGAGACACAGGAGCTACTGCCGAGACTCCCGGTCATCCGAAGGCTGGTTAAACTAATTCAGGGATACACGCGGCTCGCAGCAGCCTAGCATACCACTGAACCACACCCTTCAAGTTATTTCCAGCAATCCTAACAGCCAGGGCTGTCTAAGACCGTCTTGGGGTTTCCATCTGAAGTCCAGATCCTGTAAGAAATGCTACTGCAGGATTCAGGGCCGCGTTCTATGCTTTTCAGGATTCCCTATCCTTAGGCTAAAGTTCAGGTTCCTGCTGCCCAAACAAACCTGGGAAAAAGCTGCTGGTTTAAAATCTTGGTGGGCAAGTCAAACCCCGCCAAAACCCGACTACTCTGAGGTATCGCATACTTGCAGTCACTTCACCTCAAACTAATTTGATTTTAAAACTGAAGTTGAGCAACTTGTTAGTAATCACTTTTCAAGTATTTATTTATTTTGTTGGGGGAGGAAGGAAGGGAGGGGAGAAAAATCAAGCTGTTTAGCTTTCCAAGTATTTAACATAAAACCCAAAAGAGCTCCATCTGGCAACCAGCAGGATTTCTAAATAATCTAAATAGTATCTACAGAAGAACTAGGCTGTCTATGGAGTAAGACAACTTCAACTTTTACAGCCACAAGAAGCCTTTATTAACATAAAAGGAAATTATAAAAAATTAAGTTAGAACAGGAACAAGAGTCTGGCAAGCTGACAAAAGACCCCAGGAATCTCTGCATTAATCTTGAAATGCTGCTTTTGACTTTGTCGGAATATAGCATCATACACTGTGTGGTTTTAAAAAAACAAAACAGAAAACCCCTTCGGTTCAAAGGACTCTAAAACCAGTTCTAGGAAAAGATTCAGATTAATGAAAATCAATATATAATCCCTCGCTTTGCAACACAAAATGACCCCTAGCATTTTAACATAGTTTGTGGAAAATATTAATATTTCATTACACGGACTTCATTGAGTCATGGATGAGGCCCTTCATGCCCATAGATGGCCGTCTTCGTTAAGAAAATGGTTCAGAATACTGCTGCTAATTATGTTAATTAAATATACCTTTGAACTACTCTTACATAAAAATTTTGATAATTCATAATTCCCAAGGAAGTAAACACCTCTCGGAGTACACAGTATTTGATTTTCCAGGTTACCCATATGAAGGATCTGGCCTTGCGCTTCATACCTAGCCTGTGTATTTTTTGGCCCGTTCGTGAATGGTCCAAACCTGGTGGCGGTTTGGTGTCCTGCGTGAAGTATTTTAAGTGTCTTGATGCCCCTGTCAAGTGGCCACCGGGATTTTCTGCCAGTTTCTTGGCAAAAAGTCAAAGAGTGAAACCAGTGGGCCCAAAAAAGCCATGCTACGGTTATCCTGTGAGGACAGGGCAGCCTTGAAGCTCTGCGTTTTCGCTGTCCCTGGGCTACAGGAAGAGAATTTCTGTCTTTACCATTGCCCATCTGGCACCTTTCACAGGCAGCAAGAACAAAGAAGCAAAATGTACTGGTCCCTACCATCTGCTTCTGCTTGTAAAGTCTAGAAAGAGCCTCATAGGGAAGAGAGGAAAAAAAAAACCAACCCACCCCTTCATTTCCCACCGAACTGTTCTAGCAGGTACACATTTTTGCCTGTAATTCTTCCATATCTTAGGGGGCAACCCTACAGGCCCTTGGCTCCCTACAGCAATACAGCTGCTCGACGCAGAGCATCCCAAACGCTCCTAGCCCCACATCTTCATTCGCAAGCGTCTAACAGCCCGGAAAGAAAGGTTGCGTTGTTTGAGATTTGTTTTATTGGATCAGCCTCTGTTTTATCTAGAATAGGAAAATTCCTGTGGGTTTAATAGGAGGTATTACCCTACAGATTTGCTCTGGTTCCACCTCCTTTCCCATCAGCCACATCCCCTCTTGCTGCAAGGCTGCATACACCATGTGTTGGCTCGACCCCTTCTGTCTCTGACAGAAGTTTGGCCAAAAAGAGCAGATTTTCTGCTACTTTGATCATTTCCTGTGGTAAAAAGTAAAGGGAATTATCTGACCCATGGTCTTTTTCTTAGTTTTGAAAAATAACATGGATTTACATTTGCAAGTTCCCTTAAATAGTGTACTTGCTTTTCAATAGCATTGTGATGCTAGTTTACTGGTTGTCTTACAGGACTTATTTTTTTTTTTTTTTTAGAGTCAGGAAACACATTGCTCCGATCTCAAATTCTGAGACTCAGCTGCTGCATTAAATCAATAATGACCTTCACTATGATGAAGCAGCAACCAAAAGGTAGTATCAAATTCACAGACAATACAAAAGTGACAACTTCTTCCCTGTTAAAAAAATTCTTACACGTAAAAAATAAGCTTAATTCTCTTTTGGTGGGGATAGTGTTATTTTTGGCTACAAATGTGCATTGCATAATGTGTTTAGAAGTAAGTTAACCCTTATATTAAATGCACTATTAGAGTAGATCTATGACATATGTGATGTAAGCACCCTGAAATACTAGGTTTTCTTTTGTCAAAAGCACCAAGGTTCCAGGTCAGAAATCACATCTCACGCTTGTCTGAGCCTGTGTTGAATAGTGACGCTACCTGTTGACCTAAATGGTGTAAGCATTTGGGCAACAAGGGCCTGAAGTATGACGCCAAGTGATAGTCAGAAACCTCGATGTGGCCTGCAACTGCACCCTGAAAACTAGTCCATTATGTATTTTTTCTGTCCCAGAGAGTACAAAGTAAAGGAACAACATGAATATACCTACTGAAATAATGTCTTATATCAGAATTAATATTCCATAGGCATACGTTCCAAATGAATTATCACAATATACATTAAGTCTTTATAAGTGTGGCACTACAGCATTTAAAATATATGTATGTTCACGCTTAGTAGTAGAACCACACTCTTCCAGCTCAGAATATGCCACAATGTGCGTATGTATATAGAGACTCTTTCCTGTTAATCATTTACTCAGAGTGCAAAAAAAAAAGTTGTACTTGTTTGCATCAGAAGCCTTTTTTTTTTTTTTTTTTAAACTTTGCTGGGCTAATTATATGAATAGCACAGATTTTGACAGATACTCACTTGAGCCGAGGACAGGGAGCGCAGGGCTCCCTTTGTGTGAGTTCTACTCTGGAAAGAAACGATCAAACATTTTGAAGTGTTAAAATTACTGTTATTTTAAAATGTTACAGCAAGTTACTTTGGTGAATTTACTTTTTTTTTTTTTTTTTTTTTCAATCAGCCTGTTAACTAAAATCATGGCCTGGCTGCCTTTCACGTTTTATAAAACTGAATCCCCCCAAAACCCACATACTTCAAAAGCAAAGGGAGATCTAGAGCAGTTCGTTTTCCTTCAGTGTTAAAAAAGGAAAAAGAAGATACCTACTTATTTATATATGCATGCATGTACTTCACTTCAAAATATAATCAGAAAGGGGGGAAGAATCTGCAGTATCCTTGTTTAAACAAGAATTGCATTGCACCACTTAAAACAAAATCTTACCACAACAAAAACGGGCACTATCATCATTAAAAATATATTACCTTTCATAGGCAGAGGTAATAAGGAGGCTGCACTGTGATCCATATAGCCTCGATAATGTAAAAATGAATCAAAGAGAATCTAATTAGTTCAGCAGCGCCAAAAATTATTAAGTAGAAACATCAAAAGAGCCAGCGGGACGTTACTTTTTTTTTTGTCAGACATGCTGCAGAGCTGCCCTTCAGAGTCCCCTGGTTTATATCGGGAAGCAGGCCTCACAAATGTAGGTCACAGTAACTTAAAAGAGCTGGAGCTAAAGGATGCCGCCCTAGTACCTGTACCCTCCCCGAGCAGCACTGCCCTGCAGCCTCCTCAGCACCATCTCCGCACGTCCCACACTAAGTTCTGCACCATCTAGGATCTATGCAAAGGAAGGGTGGAGCCGGTTCCTCACCTCCTGTCTGCAGCCACGGAAGACAGTACATCCTGAAAGCATGACGTTTGCCACAATCCCTTTTTCCTCCTTCCCCTCAGTGCAACTGCGGAAAAGAAGGAAGGGTAGATTGGGACGGTTATCTCGGCTTCCACGAAGACATGCTACAAGGGAGGGAGATACAAAGGATGGCTGAGCAGACAACCGCAAACGCTGCAGAGGCACGGGACCTCCCTGTGGATGGCCTTGGCCTCCTATGAATCCCTCTGGAGTCCTACAGCTGTTCCTGCCATCCAGATGGGAAAACGTGCGTGCGTGCACATGTGGGAGCGCCTCTGAGGAAATACCTGCGGAGGCATCTAAGTCAAAGCTAGAACAGCGTGTGTACGTATTTATTTAGTTATGAAAAAACAGTGAGACAACTTTTATACTATACCGCATAGATGCGGACATCCGTGCCTCTGCAGCGTATACTGCTAGGCTTATATTGCATCAGAGATAACGCAGTGAGAAAATCATACCCCAGAGGAACGTGCTCGGACTGATTTTTCACAAAGAAAAGTCCTAATCATACAATTCACTGAAGTCAGAAAAGTTTCATTTAGAAATAAACAAAGCCTAATACTGGGGTCCACTGTACTTAAGTCAAGGAATTATTTTTTTCTAACCTTGACGATACAGATATATAAGCTCAGCTTGTATCTCCTTCAACAGGATGTATTTGTCCACTACCCCTTTGAAATTAAGTAAAAGCATCACGTGCAAGAGAAACAATAATGCTATAAAAGGAAGACCTTTCACTACTCCAGGACTGTTCCATATCCAAACCCAAAAGGTTTACTTCTTCAAAGGAATAAATAGGACAGTACTTGTACAGTAAAGGTTTAAACCATGGTAACAACATTTTTAAGGTACATTCTCCAACAGCTTTCAACATTGTTCAATTTGCAGACCTATTAAAACAAACAAAAAAATCCAATTATGCGATGGAACCGGGCAGACAAACAAAGCTTCCTTGCCAGAAGACTTGCTCTTCTATCTACCTTTCATGGAACATACAGAAGGCAACAGATCCCACAGGTCCACAAGGACCAGGCTGAAAAAAATCGTCGTTGCAATTATGGGAACTACTGCAGTATACCCTAAGCTCCATTCACAGTTCCCAAGGAATTCAACTGGAGGTGGACCGGGCCTCAAAAGTCAGCTAACTTCTCCTGTTATCTACAACATCAAACTCAAACTACTCTGACGGCAATCTGCACTGAGGAGCTCCAACACCAACCTCTAAGGAACCAAAGGGCCCACTCCGGCAAGCCTTCACAATCCTAAGCAGGCGCACGGAACAAGCAGGGCTATCCAGCAGGGTAAAGTTTTTCAAGAAACCCTTAATAAATGAATATGGAAACTCACAAATTTAACACAGATGGCCCACAACATCTGCAAGAGCTAAAATACAAAAAAAAACCCCTTCTTGAAAGATAACACAGAATGCTGATAAAGACAAACAAAGCCAGCCTATGCCCTGCTGCAGCAACCGCCGGCACTCTGCAGCTAGAGCAATCCCAACGCATACAGCACTGTCCAGCCTTCCATAAATACAAGTACGGAGTATCTCTGTCAGAGGCGTCCTGGGGAGGAGGGGTAGTGCTGGGGGAGGGACAGTCTTTATGAAAATAAAAGAACTGAATTGCAGCCTGTATGCTGCTGTCTAGAACTACAGTTGCATTTGTACCACCCATTCCCTGGGGGAAATGACATACAATGCAAACAGGCCTAGTTGTTCAATTATTCAAGTATTAAGAGATTCACAGAAAGACATCTGAGAAACATAACATTTTAATAGATGAAATAAATACTCCAGTACATGCAAGATAAAAACTGACATTGGAAAAAAAAATTAAAAATCACTTTTGTTATAGTGTAATTTTTTGTTTGTTTGTTTAAACACTCACAGTAGCTTTTCCCCCAGTTTGGAAATCAACACATGGAAAACATAATCACAACCTCCAGTCCTTCCACTCCTACACACCGAATGCACTTCTAACCTAACACTTGATGCAAAATAAAAAAAAAGTCATACGAAACAAAAACAAACAAAATAGTAGCTACATCCATCATCTATGTGTTGTTGGGTTTTTTTCATTTTTTAAATGAGTGAGAACTGAGGTAACCTTTTTCCTGCACAACCGAACAGTAAAATTTAGAAGGGAAATTTCGGAAGACAAGACAAGACAAACTTTAAAAACCGCACCCAGCGCGATTAAAGCTTTTTTTTTTCTCCTTTTTTTTTTTTTTTAAGATACCCCCACCTCCCCAAATATAAAAAACTTTTAAACGGTTATTACCATTTGTGTGAAGACCTTGCTGAATAAAGGAAAATTTATCTACAGATACTTGCTTGACTTTAAAGTAAAATAAAAAGAAGCCAAAACTGGCTACCTTTATTAGTACGTATAGTTTGAAAATGCTGTTCTGCTTCTTCACCACATGAAATCAAAGGATCGGGCTCATCCAAGCAAATTCTTTGGTATACAAAAAAGGGGTGAGGAGGTGGGATATTATTTTCCTTTAGCAATGACTGGGATCTAAACAGAAGATGTGGGGGTTAATTCACAGAATTGGAGTTCACTGGCGGTAAAGTCCTGGGTGAAGATCTTTCTCTTAGTGCCTGAGATAACAGGTTGCAACCATCCGAGACGGCGCAAGCTGAGTTCCTCAACCTTTCCCTGTAATCGCTCATTTTGGTGCTACTTTCGGGGTGTTGGGCTATATCCCTGAGGCATTGGGTCAGGAGCACACAAGCCGATACCACACTCATGGCTCCTCCTAGGATGGCAGTTTGCACAGCTTTGCCCTCTGGATTAATGGTGGCAGCTTTACCCAAAAACTGGGGCTCAGTGGCAAAGCCCACCAGAGCATAGACAGACTGCACCAAAGGTCCGCTGAACAAGACGCATCGGTTCCTGGTCAGCTCGCTGGGTGAAGTCTTGACCTCCTTGACACACGCCAAGAGGGCGGAGGCGCTGGTGCTCATACATTTGACACTGAGTTTGAACTGCTCCTTAGCAAATTTATCCTTGGATTTCTCACTGGCCAGCACGCAGGCGTCTGTCAGGAATTTCAAGTTCTTGGACATGTTCTGAGAAACCTCCAGCAGGAGCTGAGGGCTCATATCTGCCAAAGGGGTGGTCTTCAAGACCCCACAGCCGTGCTCCACCTCATGCCTACATCGGGTCACCTTGTAGCGATCCACCAAGCCAGGCATAGCAGGCTGGGCCCCCGGAGTCTCCACTGCAGCCAGGTAGGCAGCGTGGGCAGAGCATTCGGTCAGGGAGACGACCAGCTCCCCCATCTCCATCAGGCTTTCCCCCACCTCCCCGAAGCGTCCCATATTGAGCTGGCTCTGGACGTCATGGGTCAAGATGGAGAGTCCTTTGGTCCTGGCAATGATCGTGTCCCTGCACTTCTCGAAGGACTCACCGAAGACAGACAGGCTCTCGGTGTTCACCGGCCTGGTCTCGCTCGACAGCAGAAGCAGATCAGCCACCAGTTGCATCTTGATCTTGCAGTGGTCGCAGATAGAGATGAGCTTCTTCCTCTGCAGGGAACTGCTGCTGGGGATGCCGCCGCCAGACACCTCGCTGCTGGACTTGCCAGAGCCACCGCTAGCCATAGCGCCGGGGGG